AATTTAGAGGTAATTAGGGCACAGTTAGCAGGAAAAATTGCCTGTACTTGCTAGACTTCCTTCCAAACAGATCATTGAAGTTTCATTCATGGTCTATCCCGAGGCAGCTGTACCAATTGGGAGTGCAATGAAGATTACAGTATGCCTGTGACACCACTTCTGGACCGAAGAGAACAGCTGGCATCTCTAAACTTCCATCTTCTAAACTTCTGGGTGAGACTCTGCATATCATCTGTTCCTATACTCTCTTCTCTGGGAAGGAGAGCTGGGTGCACAGACTGGGCAGGAATCTCTGTCATGCTCCAGTTAAGTGTCTAACTTTGACAATCAGGACAGCAGGGACTACCAGACTCGAGATGAATATGTGGAGACTGAAAAGAACCCTGGTGTGGGAGGAAAGATCCTACTCTTTCTTACTGGTTTAATATAACAGTGCATCATACTGACACAGAAAAACTTCTTCAGAAAAAATTTATGAGGAGTTTGAGAGGAACTTCTGCAATGATGCACTCCCCAAACCACAGGAAAAAGGACTGATTTGGGTTATCCTACTTAGACTGAGATTATTTTTGCTTTTGTGATAAATCTCTCTGTAGTCTGATACAAGAATGGACCAGACCAAATACCCAACTAGTTGACAATTGTTTCCCATGACACCAAGTAGCAGAAGCTTAGGAAAATATTATTAAAAAATACAAGTACTAGAGTGTACTCAAAATCTATGATGGATCCTGGCCATCCCCTCCTTTACCTTTTTGGCTTCCACAGCATGATGACGATGTCTGTGGTATGAACTGGGTAACACGAACGTAATACATGGCAGCAGTTAGCTCTGGAATTGCTCTTTCCAAATCTAAGGCACCAACAGAAAAATAGGGATACTCCCTTTATGCTGGAGAGGGTTGTAGGAAAGCAGGGCATCCAAGTTCACAGTCAGATTGTTCACACTTATTCATGAGCATTTGCCTTGCAGTTTCAACTTAAGGGATTAAACTTTCTCCTGATGCAAATAGGTTTAGCTGTCTTTTATGTCAGTACTGGCTGAACCTCAGGTTGAACTTAACTCATTTGAGTCTTACATACTCAGAGAATATTTTTACCTCTCACCCACCCACACTATGTTCCTGAATGGCAAATTAGGATAGAATAATTTCCTATAATACAGTTTTAAATCTTTTGGGGATGATGGTTAACTTGTATATAGTGTTCTTAGATTTCACATGCAGAAAATTAAACTAAACATGGGTGTCAGTGAACTAGTAACATTTCTGAATGCTTTGTTAACTACTTAGTGTGCTGAAAACTGATGTAAAAAATTACAGGACATATTCTGTACTCTTTTAGAGTTTATTATATTAAAGCCTTCAGAGAAAAATATTTTTCCCTACATCCCAACCTTTCCTTTGAATAACCTTATTTTTGCAGGCCTTTCTACTTTAGACTGACCTCTATTACTAGACTTCTAGTAATATACAGAAATTTAATATACAGAAACATTGTTTCTCTTACTCAGACCATTATAAAAAAGTTCACTCGAGAATATAACACCTTTTTTTCTCATGGACATTCTGTGTCGATTGCTGAAGACATTTTCCTGCAATGAGAATAAGCTGGGGCTGTGTACTTTCCCACAGATAACAGCAGTGAGACCCTTCAGGATCAGTAAAATGCCCAAGTATTTTTTTTGTTGGTGTTTGCATATCAATGTTTAGAGGGCCTCCGGCTGCTGAAACTTCTGCTGAAAACCTGGGTAATTCCAGACTCCCCTGAGCTACAGGACTGAGATCTCCACCACTGCACTGAACCTACCGCACCTTTTATGCAACTCTGTGGTTACAACGATCCCCTACTATTGTTGTATATTTTGTGTTCCTTTTGACCCATTTTCCTCTGTTATAGATGTGCTGGGTTTGGCTGGGATAGAGTTAAGTTTCTTCACACTAACTCATATGGGCTGGTTTGGATTTCTGCTGGAAGCAGTGTTGTTAAAATAGGGATTTTTTTCGTTATTGTTGAGCAGCACTTATGCAGAACCAAGATCTTTTCTGCTCCTCACCCCACCAGCTAGCAGGGTGGGGGGGCCTCAAGTATTTGGGAAGGGATACAGCCAGGACAGGTGACCCCAACTGACTTCAGGGATATTCCAGACCATATGGCATCACGCTCATCCTATAAAGTTGGGGGAAGAAGAAGGAAGGGGAAGACATTTGGAATGATGTGACTTTTTTCCCCAAGTCACTGTTACATGTGATGAAGCCCTGCTGTCTTGGGAATGGCTGAACCCGCCTGCCCATGGGAAACAGCAAATTTGTTTTGTTTTCCTCTATGTGTAGTTTTTTTCTTTCTCTGTTAAACTTTTATGTCAGCCCATGAGTTTTCTTGCTTTACCCTTCTAATTCTCTCCCCCATCCTGCCATAGGTGTGCAAGTGGCTGTGTGGGGCTGAGCTGCTGGCTGGGGTTAAACCTTGACATATGGGCCAAAAGAGGCAAATCGATGTCTGAGAAGAAATCTCATTCTCTCTGGAAATTAGAGTGCCAGTGAGGCTTAAAGTCCTGTCTGAATATTAGACAGTTTTATTTTCCCTGCTATGTAAGACATCTCAGTTTCTGTAACTTTTTTTACTACTGCTCGTAGCATTCCTTCTGTTTATTGTCCTACATACCCTCCAATTATATCATAATGTAGATCTATATAAATGCAATTAAACGTGCTGCAAACCTTTGATATAGAGATATACTAATTAACAACCTGCTGACTCCTTGATTTCCCTATTGACGTTTTACTGCCTTATTACAGCTTATTTTTTTCTTTTGAAGAATCACATTTTCAACTTTGAATTGGAACTCTGAGAATAAAGGACAGCCTTGGAGATGGTTTCATTAAGGAGTTACTTAGCACTGTGCTTTCAACAAATCACACCCACACGCCCATTCCCACCCTCCAACCTCACATCACTCTATATTCTTTACCTTACAGGTTGTTAATCCGTGGTGTAGGGGATAGAAATATTATTTACATATGAAGCTTGTGCACCACTCCCTGCTTAGCCATATGTTTTTAACAATGTTGAGGAATGTTTTTAATGACTCAGTTTCCCATTCATAACATGGGGCTGAGGACCCCCACAAATATAATAATCTGTGAAATAGAGAAGTCATGTATAATCAAGGCTCTGGGCTGCGTGGAGGTGATGGTGGCAGGAACACCAAGACTTTGGGGTATTTGAAATCCAGGTGGGGAAGATGTGGAGGCAGCAGGGCCCTTGCCCCTCTCCCTGCCTGCAGAGAGGAGGGGTAGCCTCAGTGCTCGCCACCGGTGCCTCAAAGCGTATTCTGAGTGCTCGGCTGGCAAACTTTTGTCCTGTGGAGCACAGCCCCGAGATAAAGGCTGCAGCCGCAGGGGATGTCCGTGTGGGCCTAGCGGCAGCCCTAGAGAAGCCTCCCCCACCTCTGCTGGCCGAGGGCAATAGTCTTCATGAGCTCATACCTGTTTTCCCTTCACGCTTTGTGGAAGTTTTCCAAAGCTGGGGACTATTACATCTGAAAAGGCCTGAAATTAAATGTGAGGAGACGGGGTGGAAGTGAGGCGGCAGCAAAATGTCCTGTGCCTGCTGGCTCAGCGCGGGGGTGACAGCACGAGCACGAGCTGACGAGGTCATTTTATCCTCAAGTCGCTTTTTACGTGCGACAATTTTTCTGGGGTAAAATGACGCGGCGGGAAGCCACTCTGGACAGTGCTCCGCGAGGAGGGGGAGGTGAAGAAGCTGAGAGGCGGCGTGGGGAGTGGAAGGGGCAGCGCGGAAGTGCCAGTGTGAGGGGAAGATGAGGAGGGGGAAGGGCGCTTCCAGACGAAAGGGACGGACGGTCGCTTGTCTCAGATCAAAGTGAGCCATTTGGCAAAGCCCTGGATTTTGCCTGAGGAATGTAAGTTATCCCAGTAAAGCAGTTTACTGCCCCCTGAGTGAAGGGTATATCGCTGTTCCCTGAAGTGCAAAGCTGTTTGCTGCGCCTATCGCTCGTAAAGGCGGGACTGAGCTGTTGCCGCTCGGAGGTGATGGGTGGCTCCAGAGCACTTTGTTCTTAGAGAGCGAGCTGATGAAGTAATCTAACGGGTGGCAGCTAGGTGTGAGCAGAAACCTGAGGTAAGTCTGTTAACCGGGACAAGCAAACTGCATTTAGGGGATTGTTTAAGAACACCTGAGATGAGGTCAGCATGAATTAAACCAAAGATGCTTGAGTCTGCCCAGCACTCAGGTGGGGTCTGAGGTTTCTCCGCTTCGTTGCTGGACGCATCAAGTCTTTTTATTCAGAGTATTCCAGGCACGCAGCAATAACTTGACTGAACTGGAGAAGCCAGAGCTGCGGTTGTTGCTAGGGGATAACTCCCTGTGCAGTACAGGGAGCCTTGTGAGCACCGGACCAGCACGACTGAGGCAGCGGTCGAAAAGTGAAATGTAGTGCTGCAGAGGGGTGAGCCTGAGCCCAGCCGGCTCCGGAAGGCTGAGTGCTGAGCAAATCGCTATCTGAGCAGCATCTAAGCTAGTAAAATTAAAGAGTTGTTTGTTGTTTTTTTTTTCTAGGTGCAGCTTTTTTTTCTACTTCTAGAAGGTTTTGCAAAGGAATGCTCTGCAGCCTTCTGCATGCAAAATGTGACTACAGTGTTGGTAGAATGAAAAAATAGTGTTATTTTCGAGGTTTCCTTGGCCTGAAGAGAGTAAAATCGACAACGTAATTGAAATCAGCTGGAAAACAGCACCAAGAAAACGGTCTCCAAACAGTAGCTTCTTTTGTTTGCAGCAGTCAGCAGCCGGTGACTCCAGCATTCCTTGCTGCATTCCCAGTGCCCAGCGTGGCAGCCCTGAAACGAGGCACAGCCTGGTGAGGCAAACCTTCCATGCCCCCTGACTGGTTTAGGTGTTTTTGTGCTTAGCAGCTTCTATCAGGTCATCGCGGCAGGTGTGTGCAGTACCGGCCGAGAGGCTGATAGGGAGAGCTGTACCTTTAATTAAAAGGGGATGCACATTGCTCCATTGCAATCCATCCTATAAGCTTCAGAGTGGCAAACCTCAGTGCAGAGTCTGGGACTTGATGCATGAGGGCAGAATTCTGTGCATTGCACAACCTGTCATCTCAACTTTGTAAAGAACTCTCTTTTTTATTTTTTTGTTGTTGTTGTTATTTTTGGACTTTGAAGGAGAGAAGAGTTTTTCTACCTGTCTGAACCATGAGTGGATGTTCAAAGAGATGTAAGCGTGGGATTGTCAAATTTGCGCAGACTATTTTTAAGCTCATCACAGGCACTCTCAGCAAAGGTAAGGGAAAACATTTTAGTTCATACTGTTCTTTTGTTACTTCTTCTGTTTGCTGTTAGCTTTGTGGGGGGAGTTTTCTAGGCTTTAAGAAGGCTTCTGATAGGATTTATTGTCTCTTCAGAGGTGTTCTGGTTTAATTCTGGGAATTGGCTGCTCTGAAAGAAGTTGCTGTGTGCAGTGAAGATTGCAGCTGTGCTATAAAGCCTTATGTAATTGTTTCTAACTTCTGTGGTTTGTAACCTGTATTTGTCAATCTGCTGTGGTTCACAACTGTAGCAAGCTATTTTGATGTGTTCAGAGGCGTGTTTCTGAAAGCAGTTGATGTGCAGCTTAAAAAATTCAAAGTCTTCGTAATTGTCAGTAGTAGGTACTTCTCTGTGTCATTTTCTACTTTAGTGTCTCTTGCTTGTTTGAAGCATGTGTGTACCTTGGTTCAAAATCTAGGTCGCTACTTACTGCATACATTTGAGTATCTTTTGTTTATCCAAGTTTTGCTTGTCACTTACATCCTGTGTACCTTCCTATGTGCAGGTGGAAGAGTACCAAAATTATTTATGCTGTCCTCTTTACTAAAATCAAACAACAAACAAAATAAACTCTCTATTCTGCTTTGTACACCTAGTAGTTCCTGTGTTGGTGTTAAGGTAAGTTATGTTACTTTTGTTGGTCATTCCTTTCACCTGATACTTCTCAGCACACCTCTGGCAGTTAATTATGTGAGTATTGATGATTTGTTTAGGAACTCCTGACAATAGTAAATAATATTATGCCTGAATGCTGCTTGCCTGTTGAAATGTGGTCAGTTCTTAGATGAGGGTCAGACTTCTCCAAGCTCTATGTGCTTGATTGGAGGGGGTGTGGTTTTGAGAATTAATAGCAGACTTCAGGCTAAATTATTAGCAGAGATATTTGTATAAGGCTGAAGAGTGTCTGTTATGATGCAGTTTTTTTTAAAATGCACAATCTCAAGCTCTTTTTAATGTGTTACTAGTCAAGGAGCGAAAAAAGAAGCACTTAAATTTCAGATAAGTTTAGAATTCTTGGATGTGTGTGGCTGTGTTGGCTGTCTGGAACACATGTGCTCTAGCATTGATTTTAATGTTTAAATTGTTTCTTTGGATAAAATAAAGTAGGCTGAGGTGATTTTTAAAATAGCAATTGTAAAGGTGCCATGGACTTTTAAGTGCAGCTTACTTTAGCAGAAACTTGGGAAATTTATTCAATCTGTCTCTCTAGAAAAGAAATGTAGTTCTTAGACAGCTTTCTCATATTAACCTTACTGGCTTGCAAAAGAAATCTGCACCAGAAAATGTCTGTTTCACGTTAAGAATACTGGACAGGTTGGTTGCTTTTAAAATCAAGATTGGTTTAAAATTACATCTTTGTGTGTTTAATTCTTCTTCTTCTTCCACTTTACTCCGTGTAATCCATAGGCTGTCAAACACCAGCAGAGGAAAGATGAAAAACTTTTAAAAGAAAAGAGCTGTCAGATGTTGGTTATAATTAATGATTAATACCAGGATGTCTCTCTTAATATTAGAAACAAGAGAGAAAAATGAATTACTTACTGTCATGAGCACAAGAAAAAGTGATAGGATGCTGTCTGCAAGACCTTTTCTTCTACAGCATGTCAGTATGGTGAACTTTCTTTGTGCTTGGTGTACTTTGTGCTTTTTCAGGAGATAGTGGAATACAGTGTGTATGCTACTATGTTCACAAGTCATCAATGATAAATTTTTTGTTGTTTGTTTGAACTTCACCAAAGACAAGAGGAAATTTCTGATCTGGCGGTGTTTCCCCACATACTCATGTAGAGCAGTTCATCTAATGGGGAGCTTTTGAGCAACCCTTGGTTTGCCTGACATAGTAAATGAAATAATAAAATGAGACTGGCAGAGTTGCCTTTGCTTTGGCGATGGGATAGATGAGCATGTGAGTCTGACAGGATAGCACTATATGAAGAGATAAAATTTAGAGTATAAAATGTCCAAGATCTGCTTCCCCCACCCCTCCTTCTGAACTGTGCCAGCATTGCCCTATCGTTGTCTTTGTAGCTGATGCAATGGTATTGTACGGTTTTACCAATTTGTTTCCCATGGCAATGTCTCACTTCAAGCTGTTTGGATGAGATAAGAGTGGCTTCCTATGAAACCTAGTGAGCCAAAGAATTAAGAAAGAATTTAAAACTCTGATAAACTTCTTTCTTTCCCATTCAGCTGCTTGTGTTTTGAACTGTGATTCAGGAAGGAATAAACCATACGAATTAGTTTGTTGCATAGACATCAAAGACCTGATATAATAAGAATAAATGTTTCCATATGATTACCTATGTAACTCATAACTGGAAAGAAAATTATTAGAAAAAGTTTTGCTCGGGAGTGTTGAATTAAAAAAAAAAGGCATTGACCTTTGTACATTTCTCCCAGAGCTTATTGTTTAGTACTCCTTTTATTAAAACTTCTGCATGTTTTTGTATATTCAAGAATTATCACCTGTGTTTTTCATCATATTCCTGCCTCATTTCTTTCTTACTATTTAACATGGGTTTTTTTATTTTTATTTTAAATATCTTTTACAAGGAAAAGTCTTTATTAGGCACAAATTTTACTCTGCTCTTATGCTTCTGTCATTCTGAAGGTTTTTACAGTGGGAGATATTCCACAGTTCAATGAGTTGCAATTCTTAGCTGTACTCTATGGTTTCTGCTTGTCTTAATAATAGCATTTTTCTTTCCCCTTGGTTATTTAGAATAGTAAAATGAGACTGATTTGCAGCCATGAAGTCTTTCCTTTTGCAACAACGTGTGAGGAGACTGCAGCCTCTCCCTGCAGTGGGCAGTAAGGGAATAGGCACACCTGATACCACTGTATCAGCCTGGATGGTATGTCCTGATTTACACCTGCAGCAAGTCTAAGAGGCTGTAAACCAAGAATTTCATAGCTGGTACTTCTGCAGAGCTGGGCTAGCAAATTTTGCCAGCTTCTTAGTACATTCTTACTTGGAAAATCTTAGTACCAGAGCAGAGGTCTCTGTGTCTGTGTAAAAGAAGGCCTCCTCCATAGTTGATATGGTTTGAAGCTGGCTCCCTGCTAAGTCTCCAAACCTTACCACAAGAAGTCCCGCCCCCCCCGCCCCCCCAACCTCAGGGAGAAGGGGAAAAAAGCCAAGAGAACTGAAACAAGAGAGAGACAGCTAAAGCAATATATATGTATATATATATTTACACTTATATTACAGTTACTTCCTTGGTTACAAACTGGTCACCAAGGAAGGCCCAGACTAAACTACCACAATAGTGAAGGCATAGTGAGATGTATGCATTGAAGAAAACATGCCCCCTTACACTGGATGAGCCGAATAACCCCTTATTCTCCTTCTTAGCTTGGGTGGGGGTCCAGCACCTCCAGGAAAGAGTGTAGAATAGGCTTCTAGAAGTGAGTTACTGTGGCAGTGGACAGTGTGTGAGCAGCAGCAGCTTCAACAAAATTGCCTTTGGGAAGGTTTTGTGGGAAGTTTGGGTTTTCTTTCACATTACGTTTATTGTGGTATGTGAAATGGTGGTGCATCTTCCATGACCTGGAAGCAAAAACGGGTGGCAAGAATGAGTTTGTGGAGAGTTTCCTATTGAGCAGAATGATTAAACAAGGAGCCTGTGTGAGTATGAAGATATTGTTAATACCATTAAAAACTTAGTATAGGAGGGCCTTGCTGAGTTAGCAAAAATGAAGCAGAAATAAGACCTCTTGGATTTCTAGTTATGTGTTCTAGTTATCAACACGAGAAAAGCAAGATGATTTTAGGGACCAACTACTTCAAAATGGTCCTTTGCAAAAACAGATAAGCTTTTGCAAATTAACTACCCTTTCACCTTTGTTCCCAAACTGCCCCTCTTTTAGTTATGCTATTAAGATGCTTGCCAAAGGCACTCATTTCTGTTTTCTTACTTCTCCCACTTCTAATCTGCAACCCAGTTCATCTGGAATTGGGAATTTGTCCACTTTTCACAGTTTTAATTGCCTAATTATCTGTTCCACTGCAGTGATAAAGTCTTCAAACATCTTCTCCCAGCATCCCCCAGCCTGAAAGAAAGTATTCTGAGTGTTTTACAGCTGTGTGGTCTGCTTTGATGCTTCTTTGTGAATCCAAATTACAGCTAGTCTTCTGAGATGTTATGTGAGATGCTAAGGAAAGTGCATGGTCCCTCTTAGTCATACTTAGACTCTATCTCCTCTCAGTGGAAGTTAATCTTGTGCCTTGGGAGCATACTGGCACTTCATTAGGTTTGTCCTCATGACTGTAGCCTCTGAAAATGCAAGGGTAGGGAAATGTTGCTAGATGCCCTAAAGACACAGGAAGGTTCATTGCAGTTGTTCAAGTGATGCCAGGGTTCCTGCACCTGTGTGACATAAGAAAAGATACTTTGATCCTCCTGTGGCTTCATAGCCTGCCTTCACCCCTTGAAATTAGAGCTACTGCCTTCAAGCTTAAAGAAGCTTTTATTCAGGGGGATCCGATTCAGAGCAAACTGATGTATCAGTTCTCTATTTTACTTTTCTGGGTGTTTTAAATGTTCTTTAATAAGGACAGTGGTTACAGAACCCATAACAATGTGCGTTTATAGAGTGGAGTTAGAGCTTGTCCATGTGGTCATGCTTTTCCAAATTGTCCTGAAAAGTAAGTGAGAGTTTCTGTACATAAAATGCCGTTACAGAGGGACTGCTGCTCTGAGGGGCAGAATAACTATTTTCACTTAAAGTCCGCAACTACTGAAGCTTCATCTTTTAGTACCTGATCCTAACTCTACCCAGTGAAGCTCTCTGATTTCATTAGATGACTGGTGGGAAGGGTGGTTTTTGTTTTTTTTTTTAAATACCAACATATCTAGTTATATTTTCTCCGTATTGATCTGTCTTTGAACCACTAAGTAAAATACACCTCTGTTTGGTATGTTATACCTGTTTGTGTCTAAAAAATGAACTGCAAATAAAGCTATCTTTTCC